GAGATGCTTGCCGCCGTATTTAAATGCCAAAATTTCTGTTCTTCTTGCTATTGTAGACATTATCGGGCTTCAGTCACCAATAAATACCGCATTCTACCTGACTCAGACAGGAACAAGAGCATTCTTGGAATAACTTATTTTCGAGTTAACTGTCAATTGTCCCTATTTAGTGGAGGCCACTTGAACTTCACCAGCTCCTGTATTCTGAACTGTCATTGCGACGAGGCATCGCTTTTCCCAGTTTGTAGCCTTTCCGGCCGAGCTTACTATTCGCCTTGCCACGCCGGATGCAGCGACTACGAACGAACCGAGGCTCTGCTCGTACCAATAATGACATAATATCAATCAACTAAATGCGTCTATTTAGAACTTTACCGACTGCAGGTGCGTTGACGTCGGGACAACGGTGAGCCGCAGCTTATGCCGTGACGACTGTTACATTCCTTTGATATTCTACTTCGTGCTCATCACGATTAGTGGCATCATCGGAGGTTGTGGGGTGATTCCCGGCGTGCTGATTTTATTGAGGTAAAGATTCTGGGCTAAAGTACCATGGATCGCAAGGTTCAGTTCTCTAGGTCGGTTCCTCACAACTTACGATCAGTCGCTTTAGGACTGAGTGGCTTCTTGGTCAGCCTCATAAGTAAGTGTTGATCGAACAATCTATTGCAATTATATAATACTGGTGTTAAACTTCACGATAGCACAATCATGTTCAACATCGTAGCATCGTACAGTACTTCCAACAGTGAGACGCAATGTAAATGAAGCTATTCATATCAGTCCTAAAAGCGGTTTTCAATGCACTCGTTTGAAAAAAATGAGGAGCCGAATATAATTGGGAGCTACTTAGGCTACCAGCTTCGATTTTTTCAGTGTCGTCAGAATTACTTAAAAGAAGAATCTAAGAGCCGAACAACGCCAGTATGAAACTTGGATTGAAAATGAACCTGACTAAGGCTCCTGTCATATATATCAGATACATAACCGTGAGACCTGCTCAAATCAACGGACTTGGGATTGAGGAAGGGCGAACCTGCGTCTCTGTTAAGCAACTCATCTCTGCAACGGAGAATTGACTATGTGAAACCAGCAGAAGAATAAAGACGGCATTGAGAGCTTTTGAAACGTCTTTTTGCATCTGGGAAACTGCACTTGCACTTTAAACAGTAATTATTCTATCAGTACGAGCTCCCAGTGTTAATCTATGGATGTGAAACGTGAACCCTAACCTTGAACGCTATTCATAAACGGCAGACTACGCATCGCAGGGTGGAAAAATACCTGTTGGGAAAAACAGGAAACTACAAGAGGACGAAAGAATGGACAAAAGCACAAACACGAGTCTGCGACGTAATTGCTAGAGTGAAGACATTAAAACAGCAGCACACGTTGCAAGAAGCACAACCCATTACTAGATCAGAGAGAAATTAGACTGGGATCCAGTAGATAGCAAACGGGTAGGCAGAAAGATCTCCAGATCGACAACATGATGAGTTAAAGAAGTTCGTTGAAAATGGTTGAAAACAGCGGCCTATGGCAGTGTTGGAAAGGCCTTCATCCAGCACTGGATCGAACTAAGGTCAGTGACGATATAATATTCGTCTGCGACAACGTGCGAAACAAATCGGGTTTTCATCTTAATGCTGTCGCCTGACGGTTGTACTAGGAAGGGTAAATTTTTAAATTTAAACCATCAAAGTAACAGTAACGATACAGTACGCAACCAACTGTGGGTAAAAGGGATGATCTTCGTTTCATCGACATGGAATTTACCTCACATCGCTTCGGTGAAGCCAGCCGAGAAACGAGTCACTGACTCATGAATAACAGAGACAACACGACATTTGGGTGTGGTCACATTAGAAGGACGATGTTTAAGGCAGTGCTGTCGATACCAGCGCCCGTTGGCGCTGCATTAGACCTTACTTCACCTGAAATATAACTATTACGTGTTAACAGTGAGCTAACTCTGCGCAGGAGTTAACAGTGAGGAAATACCATGAAAGTTGAGACTGTCGCCCGTACCCATTTCAATATCGGAATAATTACCTTGCGCCTTCATTCTCTAGAAAAACATTTTCAAATCTTCATTTTCCAAAAACAGTCGATCGTTTCAAGTAACCTGCTATACTGTTACATTGAGTACACAGCGTAGCTGTAACCCAGAGTTTACGATAACATTGTGCAACGAAACTTCTATGAAGAGAAGGAACAGAAGAAAACTTCGGGATGACTGTATATGAGCAAATGAAGATTTGCACCTGTTAGGAAACCGTATTCGCGTTGCTCAGGTGAGCAACTAATTATAACCCCACCTATTTTAAATTTTTAACCACGACAATAAGTGTAAATACGTCCGATCTATGAGCGAGTGTACACTAAAACTGAATGATCTCTGAGCTAAAAAAATTTCATCACCTTCTTCATCTTCCATCGCCGCTTCTCCTTTCCGGTCGCGGAGGCAGACGCGTCAGACAGTCATTCCAACGTTCCCGATCCTATGCCAGAGTCTTAAACTGGTCAACTGGAATCTGAAACATACTCTTTCCATATATTTGCACCAGGTTAATCATGACCTTTCTCTGGGCCTTCTGCCGGTTGGATCTGCAAGGAACAGTTGCTTAGCCTTCCTTTCTGGAGGCATTTGTAATACATGCCCAAACCATCGAAGCTGTGATTTTTCAATCTGGACAAACAAAGGCTGTATTCCAAGGCTCTTCCGGGTGTCACTGCTCAGGACCATATCGAGACGCGTAAGGCCAACGACTCGTCTAAGAAAGCTAATTTCAGCAGCTTGTATCCGGGTACGAAGTTTTTCAGTGATGGTCCACGATTCATGACCGTAGGTAAGTATGGGGATAAAGATCGAC